GTCTTAAATTCACGTGACAATATTTATGTAGGCTGTATTTCGACGAAAATAATCAACAATGGTGTTTCCAATTTATTTTAGGACTTCAGCAGGCTATTTAAAGTACAAAATTATCATATTTCTATGATTTTATTTATAAAAAAAAAATCCTAATAAAGGCGACGAAAAAGTATTTGAATTTAAAATACAATAAAGACATAAAAGAACATTATTTTCGGGCGTCACCGTTTTCCGCCAAAATCGACCTTTTCGTTTACCGCCAGTTCAATAATATATATTTCCTTTATCCGCCACCACAAATTTCAGTTTCTATATTTTGGTAACGCCCGATTAAAAGAATTAAAATATTATATAATATACCTACGTATAGTTTATCATGGATAATATGTTCACAATCGTGGGTTTTTCTCCATTTAGAAAAGTGAGGAAAGATTACCGACGCAAAATTATGCCTCAAAATCCTACTAATATAGCTGATGCTCACAACAAATTCAATTCGATTGACGTGAAAACCAAACAAAAAGAAAATATTTTATTGGTTAATGATGAAAAAGAAAATATAATAATATTTAATAATATTTATACGGAACTTTCGATTATAGTGCTCGGTTTTTTTTACAATTTTTTTCAATAGTTTTTATCGACATTCGCCCTCTATTTTACAATGGTTAAATGTTTTAATTGAAGAAGTCCAAACTGACGTTTATTGCAAATTAAGAAGCGTCGGTGGACAAAAAACACAGCGAAACCAAATTTTAAAATGACAAAAAAAACAGTATTTAATTGATCAGTATGAAAGGGGAGAAATATGCCGATATACTTTTGTAAAATCAATAGCGTATATACAATAAGAAATAAATAAAACGAATAAATGTTTGACTGAGATGTTTTTTACGTCGTAAATTTTACGTACGTAATTTTAATATAAAATAACACTTGAATGTGTTTTTGTAAAATCATATATTAATTAAAAATTGAATACCTAAAAATTTTTGTTATTTTAAAAATTACCAATTATTAATAACTCCACTTGTTTACATAATAAGGGGTTACCAAAGTATATAAAAACTGAAATTTGTGGTGGCGGAAAAAGGAAATGTATATTATTGTGCTGGCGGTGAACGGAAGATCGATTTTGACGGAAAAGTAGATCACCCTTATTTTCAATATTTTTCAAAACTGCTAAACATTTATATTTATTTACTATTGTAATAATTGATTTTTAAATCTTAGCAACATAATTGTACAATGCTTTCATTGTAGTGTAAGATTTATCTATACAATATTATGTTTACCAGTGTTGTAAAGTACTTAAGTAAAAGTATTTGAGTGAAGTATTCAAATATATTTTAGTTTTTGAAGTAGGTACTTAAATATATGTATTTTAAAAACGTAATTAAACATAGTATTTTAAATACTGTCTCAAAGTATCTGTATTTAAAATCAAATACTTTAATTATTATTTTTAGTTTATATCATAATTTCTATTCTAATTTTGATCACATAAAATAAAAATAACAATTGAGAATAATATATTATACCTAAGACAATATATTTTTTTTACTGTGAATTAAACTCAACCGAAAATTACATGCTTCAATAAAGAAAACAGTCGATTATTTTATATTTCCATTAATTAAAATGGTGTAAAATATATGCTCTATAAAATTAACGTAAAACAAGAAAATCAGTTCAGTTGATTTAAAAGGTTATTAAAATATTTTATGAAAAATTTATAAGTATAGGTATTTGAAAAGTATCTATAAATAAATACTTTTTCAAGAATTTTTACTTCTTACTCAAATACTTTTTTTGCTGAGTATTCAAATGTGTATTTTTAATTCTTTTTAAAATAGATATCTGTATTTTTACTTGAATACTTTTAAAAAGTTCCTTATACTAGAGTTGGAAATTGGTATCTGACAATTTCTTTGAAATATACATAACAAATATACAAATGTTAACTTTTTAAGGCTTACACAGCATTATAATATAATAATATATTATGTATACACCATACATGTATGATGTATATTGTATACAGACGTAGACCACATGTTCGGATTTCGGTTTGTATCGTAGTCATAATATAACACACACTCTTAAATATTCAATTTCCATTCAGGTTGCAGGTCGAGAAATCCGGAAAGAGGATGTGTAATGTATAGTGTATACTGTATAGTACTACCTTTAATAATATATTAAATATATTTCATTTTTCAAAAATAATAAAATATCCCTAGTCTCTATAAAATACGTAAACTGTGTTAGGAATTCTGAATGTCACATTACAACAGTATTTATCGTATATATTTATTCGACATTCGCATTAGGGGTCTTAATTTAAAGAAATTCCGAAACAATGTTCGAAATTCGTAAATAATGGTATTTTGTTTGTTGAGATGTGTTCAGCACAACTCGATATGACCCATTAGACGGACAAAACTACATTATAAAACGTTTAAAAAACTACTAATAATGAAATATTTTTTTCTATTTCCTATTCGTTGAAAACCTGTTGTAATTTTCAGCACTTGTAGTAATCGTGTATAAAAGAGTATAAGACATTAATAATATTATTACCACAACATTTAGCAAGACACTAGCTCTCAGGAAACGATTCTCTCAAAAATCAATAAATCTGATCACATGACGTCCTGTGGGCCCTCGCCTCCCTATATTACAAGCAATGCGTACGTAAGTCTACGAGAGAACACGTATAGAAAACGTATCTTGTTAAGATCTACCGTGTACCTACATCGGTAACTGCCGACACGCATCTCAAATTCGCATTTTCTGTTTATTTAGGTACTCGGTAATTCATGGGTAAGTCACGCCTGTAAGTAAGATCGCGATTGAGTGTAGCCTGTACCTTTTCACAACCAAAACCATTTACCATCGTTTGTAATATATTTTTAATGCAACGTTACGAATGTACAATGTACGTATTTTACACATCGACTGTTTACGATAATCGACAGTCTTATCTGTCGACTTATTCTTTACCAACAAGCCGCACCCATCTCATTAGTTAATGGTGTTATCGATACAAATTAATGTTGGTTCGTTCAAAATCTATTGGAACACTAATGAGTAATGAGTTATGACTAACCATCAATCAATAATAGAGATAAATGATAATCAAAAAACGATAACTTAATCTACATTTCGCAGATAACGTAGAATAATGATGTATGTTTATATTTTAAAACTAAATTTAAACAAAATGTATTACAATTAACAAGAATTGTAACTAATAGGACTTTCTTAATGAAATAATGAATATTGGTTTAACTATAGAAAGTGATTAAGTACCAAAATATCTTCAAGAATGGTTTTAATAGCGTAGAAACCTTAGTGTTTGAAATAGACGTTAATTACAGTGGACACACGAGGAGACAATAATATCATTATAATATAAGTTGGTAATTACTACTTTTTTTTTTGTAAAATATGGCTTATAATTGTTAGGCTTAGATAAGAAAATTATAAGAATAAAATATGTACCAAAATACCACGTTCCTACCTACTGGTAACAGTAAATTCATAAGTACTAGAAATAAAAAAACATGGCTTTAAGTACTATTTTTAGGCTAATCCGGACAGATAAGAACATTTTTGAATAAAAAATGTACCACAATACCACGTTTCTGCTTACTGGTAACGGTAAATTAATAGGTACTAGAAATAAAAAAACTGTTATTATACATTTGGATTTTATTCATGTAACCATAGAAACGATGACCGTGTATTCAAGAATATTCATCAATTGTATTTGTATGATGGTAATTTAATATGTATACCAATCTACAATAATTTATTGTAATATGCATTATAATTGTGTATTAATGTATACCATTATGCCAACCTCAAAAAAATATAGCATAATAATATGCATCATGATTGTATATTAATCATAATTTATGTACATGGTAATGCAATTATTAATTACCGTCGCGGTATACCACCACAAGGTCATTAGCGTTATTTCACAGTCTGATGCGAGTTATATAGCAATCGAATAATAACCATTGAATTAAAAACGAGCTCGCCCGCCCGTTTAGGTTGGGATTATTGGCGCGCCGCCGTCACGTATACAAGGCGGCGGCCGTAACGGATGTACCTAATAATAAATAATATACAATATTGTTGGTAGAAGTGGGTGAGCAGAGCGACATTCCGATGTGGCAGGTGTCGGTATTGGTGCAGTGAATGTATGCCATGGTATAATGGTATGGTACGATATATTCATATTATGGTTCATTTGGCCGGTGGGTTTATTTTTTTATACCGGTTTGGAACAACGAAATTTAACGATGTTCCCAACATGAAACGTTGCCTCAGTTTTTCAATACGACGACATTAATATCAGCATTGTTGTTGGGTCGTTGTGGTAGTGGTGCCGGAGTGGGAACGAACGCACAGCGCTAGCGTCGTTCAATTACCAGGAATTGGTGGCGGCGGCGGCGTCGTCGTTATGGTGTTCAAAGAAATAATAAATTATCGTTCCCTTGTTGGTACACACTATTTGAAAAAACCTTGAACTATGCGAGCTCGGCGCGCCTGTAGCCTCTATTCGGGGTACTAGTCGGCGGGGTCGCCGCCTAATGGGTTTTACGCGCAAACGGGCGACGGGCCGGCACCATTGGATTCCACCACACCGCCAGCGCTCGAACTATGGTCGGCGGGTGGGTACGGGTCGCGGGAGGTACGATGTCGAAGCGTACCTCGCTTAGAGGCTATACAGCCGCCGACTGGTTCCTTCTTTGTTCGGACAATTTCACTTCGCTCACGCACGCACATTATGTTCATGGCACACACAGCTGCACACAAACTCGCTTGCACGCACACAATGCACGTAAAATCGTACACGGACGCACGCACACACTTGCAGACACACGCACACACGGACGCGCGCCTGGTATTATGTCGTTATGTTGGCTAGCCCCTCGACCCGCAGCTCGTCTACCGTGCCCCCACCGCGCCCGCGAGCAGGCAGACACCGGTCGGTTCATTCGTGTTACGTCCGTCGACATCGCCAGCCGTAGCTCGTTTTGTCCAAAACGTTCTCGTCGTTCCACTGTTCCCGTCGTTCCCGGATTGGCCGCCGCCGACAGCACTGCTCGCCCCGTTGAATAATTACCAACACATATATTTATACAGTTGACGCCGCAGTCGGTCGTACGTTGTTTTTCTCCGTTTTTTTTTTCAAATGCTACAGCCACGGCATTTTGCTTTTACCGAATAACGTAATTTGTCGTCCACCCCCTTCCACCAATCGTCGCCAAACGACGAACACTTCAAAATGTCTTCTGTTATCAGCGTTCCAGCAAACGAAGGTAACTATTTTAACCCCAGCGGTTGTACGTAATTTTTTGATTTGTTTTTAAATGTTTATAATGTTTGACATAATAGTGGGTAGTGTGCACCGATCTCGGTTTCGTTATTGGGATTAATATTGATTATTATTATTTATTCGATGATGTCCTTATTATTATCGTTATTATTTATTCGATACTGTTGAAGATATTATCGTTATTATTATCATTATCATTATTTTATATTACCATGTGTTTGGGGTACGCACATGTATACCTAGTACTATAGATATTAATTTATTGTATTACCAATTTTATTGCAGGATAGTAGTATCTTACTAATTGTTTTTTTAGTTAACGTGTCTCTAACGTGTCTTACATTTGGAATACGAAAATATTTGCGTTCACCCTGATAGGTTTTGAGATATTATTTTTATTCGAGGTGTTGTTCCCTGTGTTTGTTACTAACGTAACGCAAATTACAGATTACTGTTACGAAATTATTTTTCGTAGTAATTACTAATTTCAGTATATTTTATTAAAATTGACGCAATTTTAACGAAATAACTTTATAACGGTAATTTTTTCGAAGTCACGTGTTATTTTCCTCGTCATTAAAATTATGAATGTTGAATGTATAACAATAACTAGGGTCTATGATATTCAAGAAAAATTAAGAATCAATACAATTTATTTACGATTTTGAAAGTTTAAGTTAATAATAAGTAATAGTTAACAATTAAATATTCTAGGAAATATTAATAAACATTTTGTTCATGTATAATATTTAGTCATTAACAATGTACATGATCAATGTTACATCTATATTGCTATACAATTTATACAATAATCAACAGTATACTATACTAATTGGTAGTTAGAGATGATTTTGTAATTCATTTTTAATTAAGTAAAATGACGTTTCGAAAATAATGTTGGGTATCGCTAATTATAATATGGAATGTAGCGAGTAACGTATTTTTATAATTTTTTTAAATGAAATTAACCCAACAAGAGTAACTGTCATGTAATACTAATAACAGAAATAAACAATTTCTTCGGAGAAGTAATTAACATTTAGGTTGTTTAACTAATTTGATTACAGTACATTGTGTGATTTTATACCTTTATTTTTAATTAAAACAATTAAATCAAGTTTAAGGACATTGAAAACTATAATGGCATGACAAGAATTCATGTGCTTGTAATTTACTACTATTTTTAGCTCGGCGTTCTGTCCTTTTTCTCTTTATTTTACACACTTTTATTGTGAAGACCAAAAGTTTTTATAAAAGTTACTTGATACGCTTTTCTTACATTTCAATTTCCACGTTAAGTATACAACAAAAACACACCTCGCGGAACGTTAATATTATTATACCGCTCCAGGATTTCTCGACATTATAAACCACCGAAAAACGTGATCCAACAATATTAACAAAAGATTTGCCGCTCAAACGCGTGTTCAAAGATTTTCGTTAACAGTTTTCACGTTTCGCCCGACACTCGTACTGGTGGTGGTCAGCGGGGTGTGTGTGTGTGTGTGTGTGTGTGTGTGTGTGTGTGTGTGTGTGTGTGTGTGTGTTTTTACACGTTTTCGTCGCTAGTCGTTTGTACTATTGAGTTCTACATACACGACATCAATGCATTCTGAGACCGTGGAAAGTATTCTAGTTGAAATGATTTGTTAGCCTGTTTCCGTGCAAACAATTCGCTTACTGAATCTATCGAACAATTTTTTTTTGAATTGAAACAATTTCATACATCAGTTATACCTATATTATCGCTTAGCAAACCTCATCATGCATGGGTCTATTCCAATAAAAGATGTTAAAATTTTGTTTTGAATAAAATTACTTGGTCACTGTCCCTGTTCCGAGAGGACCATTGCTCATTTTTTTTTTTGTATGGAAATGAGCCTACATTGTATTTTTCGGGTATTTCGAATAATATTATAGTTATTAGTGCGTTCGTGTTGTTCGGGGCTATTTTTTGTACGTACCCTTTTCACAATTTATGTTTGCCTTGCACATAAGTTTTAGGTACCTAATAGAAATATGTATATTATAATAAAGAAACAAATATTTCGGAACAATTGTATTGTCAGGTGTTTCTTATTTCAAAACGTATGCCGTTTCTCTAAAATGTTTGGTTTTAACCGTTCCTGAAAAAAATCGTCGTAATGTTTAAATACGTTTACTCCATTCCTACAACGCATCACACTTGTAACCTAGTATTAAGATAAAAACATTCAACACGTTCTGAGAAGCTGCAATAATGTGATTATCGGTGATTATGTTGTTAGATGATCAGATCGTTTTCGCGCCAAATTTGTTAGCCTCGATATGGACTACACAAAGTCCGAGGACAATGTCGCTTATAGTACTTCAGCGGTTAAATATTTAGACCCAGTATAATATTAGATCTGAAAATAATTTAGCCGACAGTATTTCATCTGACGTGTATTTTGGTTAGGTTATATTTAGGCAATAAATATCATCAATAATTGCTCTTTGTAATTTATTTTTCTATTAAGAATACTTTGAAGTTCGGTTACTCCTTACATCATAGATATATTATACACAACAGCTAGATAGCCCTCTCCTTTTTTTCACTGAAGTCAACTACTATTTACAAAGCATGCAATGTTTACAAACACCTCGACAAACACAGTATACGTGCACACATATGTGTACTCGTATGAATAAATGTAAACATTGCCTTTTTTTTAAATGGCGGCCGACTTCAATACTATATTATAGTACGGAGGCTTTTTATACATCTTAAAATACTTATAACTCGCGTTCAAATTATAATATAATATTTTTAAAGTAATTTTCTAATCAAATGTTCAATATCATTCCGTATACATCTTTTGATATCTATTTGATTTTTATCGTGTGGTAAGAACGTAGGTACAAACGCATTAGAAAAAAGCTGTACAAATACAGCTCACTATGTATATACAACCAACCAAACACAGCAAAGTTTTTACTCCCGTACTTTTTTTTAAGCATACGAGCGTAGATCATAAACTAAAAATCTATGTATGACATTAAATGTATAGGAGAGTTACCCAGCAGTACACACTTTAAATGTATTATCACACTTTCGCCTTACCTCGTTACCAAAATATTCTAAATATATATATATCCCCTAAAACCGTTTTTTACTGATTGTATATAAAATTGCTAGGTAAATTGTATTGCGAAATTAATAATTTGGTAATTAAACAAATACTGAATTTCTAAAACTACATGAATATTGTCATAATTATAAAGATATTAAAATAATAAATATAATTAATAAAATAAAAACAATCCTATTGTGATAAAAATTCAATTTTCTATTTCATTTTCATTATAAACCTACCTCGTATTAGTTAATTTGTGAACATTTTTGTCAAAATCTACAATAGGTATAGAATTTAATACTACCTATAATTGTAAATAGTTGTAGTAATACATTAATATAATATCATTAATATCGTGTTGTGAGTATTGTGATGTTCAAGTTATCTTACCAATAAATCTAGTACTTAGATATAGTACCGGAATTTGGTTATCAAATGTCTATAAATACCTCTAAAAGTCAAAATATATTGGAAATTTTTGTAGGCATAGGAAATACTACAATAATTATTTGGTGAATATTATCGTTTTTGATTTGCTACAAAAAAACAATCGATTTTGTCAAAAATATATTTTGACTAAAAATTCCCGGTCTCCCCTCTATTATTTTTTTGTTTTATTTCCAATTATTGAGAAAATTTACGGACAAAAAATGTTTTCAAAAAAACCATAATTTTAAGAAATTTTTATTGATCCTCCAAGAATCTGGAACTATGTTTGCTACTTCGTTTTACTAGAATGATTGTATTTTCGTCCGAATATGCATGCCAAACAAACTATAATAGAAATTTTCTATTTAAAATTTTTTTTTTTGTTTGTTACATCATTGTATCAAATAAACGTTTAAATCTATATTGTGTTATATAATTATATATTATAAATCTTATGTCTATATAGATGTCACTGTGCATATTGAATCTTAATCTGTAAAATGTAAATAGTATAAACTTCACTGAAAATATAAATAAAGGGCTCGATAAAGGGTTAATAACAAATTTCAAGCAAGTATATATATATGTATTTTTGTTTTATATTGTAACAATAAAAATAATTATTGTATACTTACATAATATTATTATATTAGTTATTGCATTATGTGTATACAATATTAATATTATTAGATAAGATTTTTCGCCACAATGTGGTTTTATTATGAATTTCTAGTACCATAAAAAGAAGCCTTTATGCCAGTACCTAATGTAGACCTATGTGTAAATTCTACATTTTGTAATGTTGGTATTTGATAGTGTGTAAAATAATGACCATTGCTACTTTTTTAAACTACTTACAAGTTATAACTTAGATAATCTCAAAACTAATAGTTAAAATATTAATTTTAAATAGGTACTTATATTTTGTGATTTTCAATGTTTTTATGAGTAACTAATATATAAGATACCCAATGTTAATTTTTTTACTAATCTAATCTTATTTTGACTATCAAGAACTTATCACAACTTAATTGTACTCATAAAGTGAATTATGTAGTTTTCAGCTTGTCCGCTGTTTTCTTTTACTTTCTCTTCAGATAGTAATGGTAGTAGCATTCTATTTGATTATTCTATCATTGTTTTTATAAACATTATAAATTATCAGTTTTCTATGTACATTTAATCATAATACCGAAATATTTAATTTCTGCACCTATAGATGACCATGATTACGAGCTTTAATATCATGTGCATTTATTAGGCCTATTAATCCTAAAGTATGAATTTAAACAAGTTGATTACTTGGATTCTAAGTATTAGAACATATTTTAAACCATCTAGGTTTTTGGTATCTTTATTATAAAAATTGATTATAATTTGTAAATAATAATTGCACATATTATTAATTGATTTTTCTTGGGCATATATTACAGTAAGAGTATAAAAAAGAAAAAAAATGCTCTTGTAATTTAAATTATTTACATATAAAATCTATAAATTATTTTCTAAATAAATATTTTTTTAATTTTTATATTACCTATAATCGAAACATAATTGTTTAATCAAATTACAGGGATAAGTGTTAAAAATGAACACGATGATCCTGAAATCAATGCAATGGCTCTCAAAATGAAAGAAAATTATCAAAAAAATGCAACAGCTGCAGCAAAACAACAGGCTGCTTCTCCGGCTAATGTTTATATAAACAGAGCTGGCAGAGCAGTAACTTTGGTTAATACACTAAATTCAACAAATAATACACCAAAAAATGATCAAGAAAAATTACCTAAAGATAGTGAAGATGTAGAGAGTGTAAAAGGTAAGCTATCAGGAATTAGTTTATGTTCTGAAATATCCTTCGAAAACACTATTTTATGTTTTTTAATGTATTATAGGTATATTTAGTTGGAAATTAATCGCAGGACATCAGGTACCCTATATCACACGAGTAATAAATAATGAACATTTAAAGTTTGTATCTGTACGGATGGCTGAAACTCAGCTACTCAGCAACTATTTACATTATTTACATGCAGATATTTATACATGCACATCAGTAAGAAGTCATTTTATCACTGATGCTGAAGCTAAGTTATTAAATGAAATTAACCAAAAGCATGTTGACTGTTTATACGGGAAAGAAATGTTTTTTGCGGGAAAAGATTATATTGTCCGTTTAGAAGATGTTCATGAATTTTATACATTCATAGAAGTATGTTATAAAAAATTATTGTGCAACATTACTCCAGGTCGCAGAGAAAAATGTGGTTTCATACGTATTAACTCTGAATCTGTTGTACCATATTGTATTAAAGATGATCAAAAATATGTTCCTCTCTTCTATTTTGAAGGCGAAACAGAAAACCTAAGACATCGAGCTGTTAAGTTAGAAAATTGGAACTTGGCGTATCTCAAATTTTGTTGTAAAGTTCAGGGCATAAGAAATGAGTTGTTTGCTAGTGACTCTTGTACAGTGACTAGCCTTGATGATATTAAGAATTATTTCCCCCCCGAAACCAATTTTGAAGAATATTGGCCAGCTAAGGTGGTTGATACACAACTCCTAACTAATCAGAAATCTGCTCATGTCAATCCGCCTGGTGCCTGGATCAGAGCACCTCCCGAAGTAGTCCCTGCTGAAAACTCGATTCCTCACGCATTAACAGCTCCAGCACCTGTCTTACCACAGAGTATGCCAGTGCCGATGAACACCTATCAAAACGGATGGCCAGCAAACCAAATGGTACGCATGTGTTCTTAGTATATTTAATTGCTTTTATATTTTTGGTATGCTTATCATTATTTTTAGTAATAACTATTAATATCAATAAATAAAAAAGAATATCAATTAATAATTATATATTTTGTACATAAAAAAATAATATATAAATGGCAAAAATGGGTTTAAAATCTTTTTAGTTTTTAACATGCAATTTTACATAGTTATTTTACTATTTGCTACATTTAATTAATTATACTTTGCAGTGGTGGGTGGTAGTAGTGGTGCAGTGCATGCATTTTAATAAGCCGATTTTTTCTCTATAATATGTCAATCTGAATTCTCATTAAATAAATAATGTTTTTGTAGGTTAATTCATATAGCGCTCAGGCTCAGGCGCCATCAACAACTCGTGGCTACTCTATTGCATCCAGAAATCAAACTATAGCTGCCCAGTGCTATAATGCGGTACTTATTTTTTAACTTCAAGTTTTTCCTTTACGTACTCATCGCCCCTTATATAGAAATACTCACTATCTCTAACTATCTGTAGTTCAAAGCTCACACAGTAAACTATTTTTGATTTTATAATTTTGTCACCATTATATCAACAAATAACCTTTTTATAATTTATTTAATATAAACAATTTTTATAATCTAATTGTCATTCCTCAGTTGGTAATTCAAACAATTAACGTTTTTTTCACATATTCTTGTAAACCAAAAGTAATGTTGATATATTAATAAATAATAATTAAAAAATAAAGTGTAACGCTTTTATTTGAATTAAAATTGTTTTAAAATGACTAGTCTAGCTGTCTAGCAGTCCAGCTGTTAATATGTTGGGTCATTTTATAATTTAATATAATTTGATACTTCATTGAAGTTAATTTAAAATTGAATAAAAATGTTGACAAGTTTTTCTTTATTTGACAATAATAAATTCTTTGAATTCAATGGTTTTATTTTTACTACTATTAATATTACATTATAAGCTATACACTGTTTCAAAAAAGAATATACCAGATTTACATAAGAAAACCGGTTTTGCCCGTGGCCGCCTGGTATGTTCTCTTTTGAAACAGGGTATATATAATATATATTAGTAAATAAATAGTTTTTTACATTTAGTTATTATTGGATTTTCAGGGCACAACAATGTCTCAAGGTAGCAGTTTGATGAACGGTGCAGGTCATGCACCACCACCGCCTTTAGTCCGCGCTGGCAATACGGCACCAGTAATTGGGTAAGTGTAATCAAATTAATATAAATAATCAAATTTGTAAAATCTAAAAACAGAAAATTTTTTTTGCTTTTAGTAATACTGTCTCATACAGCAACGTTATACCTATTAGCCAATGTATGACGAGTATGTACAACAATCCATTGACTAATAGCAATGCAATGTCTCATTCAACTCAAATGCGGCAATTCTACGCTCAACGTACTAATAACATTAATCAAGCCCACCAAGAGATGCAGCAACAGATACAACAGCATCAACAGATACAACAGCAACAACAAAGAATTTCTACTCCTCAAACTCAGCAATCATATAGTGGCCAATCTGTGCATGGTCGTATAACCAACACTCAACAGCGCAACGCATTGAGAAATGTTGCGCCCGCCGTGATTGCTCCCGCTACTGAAATCATTGACTTATCATCTCCACCGTCAAGCCCTGTTCCTCCAACTGTGCAAGAGACTTCTCTCCGCTCTAGTGGTGGTTGGGAATTAACGAGAATACCTGAACGGATGTGGGCACATGACACATCAAATAATGCTGCTTACAAGGTTAATAATAATTAATATTTTGATATTGACTGAAGTTATCGGGGCCTAGAATAAAATAATATTAATTTTTAAACCTTTATAAAACTTTGATGCCATTATATTTAAAAACAAGTAAATATTTGTTCACAAAAATAGCATGTGAATCAATTCAGCCAATTTTTTATGACATAGATAAGTTGATAATTTTTCATTAAATAAATATGAGTTAAACTTCAAAAGAATAATATTATAATTTTATTGACTATGTTTTACATAAATGTTTTGTATTTAAATGTAACTGTCCATATTAATAGATATTAATTTCTCTTGGCTAATGAATTAAATTTGTGTAATTTTTCTGTCAACTAAATGTGTGTACAGTGTTTATACTTTGTAATAAAGTTATCTTTTTTTAAACTTAATATTTGTGGAATATTTTTAATTTCTTACAATTGTTTCAATATTTATTATTTGATCAATTGCCATATAGCAATAAATAACAGGCCTGTATAATTTTTAATTAAATACAATTAAACACAAAAACTATTATTTAGATATCTTCTATAATAATTATTTTTTAAATTATTATAATATATGTATAATATTTATGCCCATTATATTTAATAAATAAATAATATATATATATACATATTTAACACAGATTCAAAAGGCCACACTTCAAGGAAGAATGATACACTGCATAAATGCTAAACCTTACATATATTCAGATTTGATGGTGACATTAGATGATCTAGTCCAGATGTTGTTGCCTTCCTGTACTGTTGCAAGATGCGCTTATGTCTTAAACAAATATTTAAAAACTACGCTATTCAGTGGAAATTCGTAAGTGCCTCTTCTCCTTTTAATCATCATTATTTTCCTACAACTCATCTAACTGTTTGGAAGAGGTTAATAAATTTTATCCATTGTTTGTTTGACAGCGAACAGTTGGCCGTGTTGCGTGAAAATGGACGTCTCAGGTCAATGTACCCGGATGAAACACCGATGGCTATGCTGCAAGACGTCACGCATGTCTTGCCGCAGTTAAAGACATTGGTGTCCAAGCAAGATGAACAAATACAGCAATACCAATCTGCAGGTGGTCCGTCCAAGAGACAACGCATCAGCTAGGAATGGGCCGGGCACGGCGGAAGCCGACCCGACTGGCCAAAGCCGGTGGCGGGCAACAGCAGCAGCAGTGGTGGTGGTGCAACTTCCACCCCCGCACCCACCACTGGTTGGTACTCGCCGACCGCGGCCGACAGCAACGATTGGCTTAACGCCGGTGCTGGTCCATCGCAACCGCCGCACCCGCATCACCCACTGATACAAAATAGCTATCAGACTCGAAGCAACTGGCCTCCGCCCCCGCCCTACATGTGAATTGAACTAGTACCGCGACTAAGCAGCATAGGTAATCTGTGTGTCTGAAATGTGCACTGGTCGTCGTTCACCATCATCTCTTATCGTTTTTTTGCTCTCGTTATTCGTGTTTTCTTTTACTATTATTTTTAATACATTTCAGCGTATTATTTACTATTTATTATTAACTGAATTCCTGTCCAAATAAGATAATATTTTGACTAGATCGACGACGAGATTCTCATTCTGAATACCAATATATTATGCTTGCGTGTTTTGTTCCTATAAATAGTATGTGTACATAGTACATACATATGTACAAATAAAAATATTATTTATCTACACGACTAAGTGTCGTGTATATAATTTATTATAATTTACTATTACAATAATATTATATATTTAAATAATATGATCATTTTGGATCTTCATAATTTCCCATTATTTCATTTATCTTTGCATTTATTCAAAGTATTAATTTAAATACTAGTTTTTAATATAAACAGTGAACTCTTGTAAAATAATTAATTGATTATGTTTTGTTTATATTTAACTTTTGTATTGACCAATAATAAAAATTGGGACTTATTATTTTAATTAATGTTGTATTATTTATTTTGCATTAAAAAGAAAGGTAAAAAAACTCCTGGTTTATTATTAGTAGTTATTACAGATCATCCATCATCCATACCTAACCTACCTAGTATAATATTGTATCTCAAAATTGGGCATACAATTGATTCCTAAACAAATTCGATTCTTCCGCGAGTTAATGCGCCTAACCGTGTGTTATCAATAGGAGTACAAATGCTGCACGATGATGTTTGTATAATAAAATCTAATTATAGACGTCTGATCTAGAATATTAAAAAAAGGACAATGTATCATGGGACATTAAAACATTGATTAAATAAAGCAATTTAAAGTAATGCTCAATGATAAATTGCTTTGGGCTGGAATGTTACGGAAAAAAGTTACATAAATATTTGGTTACATAATATTTACATGTGTCGTCTCCGTCTTGCACAAGTACAGCATGACAAATTTTTGTTCACTAGTTTCAATAGTGTGCTGTTAGTTTTGATATTAGAGTAAATTAACCTATTTTAAATTTAAAGGTAAGATTTATTATCTAGAGCCCCATTCGGGCTTTTATTGATATTATTATTTTTAGGTAAGTTATGATCATTTTAAAGTGTACAATTTCGCCCGTCGTAATAAGTATCTGACGTAAGCGCCATCTAACGGACAGTAAACTTGACTGAAGTCAAGTGTGTGACTGTCAACTTGGATAATTACTTATTACTTATTTGTTATCTTAAAAGTTAAAATTAGGGTGCCAGTTAAAATCTAAAAATTCTATTTTGTATATTTTTCCTAATTATCATTAAGATATTATATTATATGTATATAAAATAATTATTACAATTTGTCATTTTACAATAAGTATTATAAAACAATATCTATACGTCTCGGTACTTTGGCCATTTAATCAATGACCTCCACGGCTCTGTTAAAGTTAGATAGCATAAAACCATTTAATCCTTCCTCACCAGGCTTTTTGCTCAGATGTTTTCGAACTTCGAAGACAAGAAAAATATCGGTCACTCTTGCCATAGAAACGGGAAGAGTTACACCGATCTGCAAAAATCGATGTATTGATTGATACAATACAGTATCACAATTATTGAGAGTGTCAATAAATCTACATAAAAACCTTAAAATTGAACTAAATTTAAATTCTGAGCGATGAATGTTTTGATTTTACAATGATGTGTGTTTTTTTAATATATTTATTTTTTTCTTAAATAACATATCAGATGATTTTCAACTAACCATCTCATAAGTACATGGTTTTCGACTTATTGAGTATTTATAAATCACGTTCATGTGCAACATTTTTGTGACAGATAGCTTTAATGAATACATTTTGAACCATAATATCCATCAATCGTTAAAATTTTTTAAATAAGCATCAGTGTAACAAAAAAAAATATGCAAAAACCTCTAAAATATGCAAAAATATGCAAAATAAAATTTCATATTTGATTTCTTCGTACTAAAAAACGTATTTGTATATCACTCTATGTTTTACATCACCTATGATGGATATGCAAATACTATTAGTCCCAACCCTGCAGCTTATGATAGTAGATACATGACATTTTCATTGAAGGTCTGTGTTGGAATTTTTTATACACTATACAATTTTCAAATTATTTTGAATTGTGAACTATTTATAGCCATATGAAATTTATTAGTTTATTTCAAACTAATGTCGATAAAAAGTTATTCGGTTTGTCAAAAAACTTGTTCGTGTAAAACAAGGTTCATCGTAAGATGTTGTTAGTGGAAATAAAAAAAAAAGTTAAGCTTAAATCCGCAATAATTTTTTATGAATTTTGACGAAATTCGTAAAAATCACGGAAATTAGGAAATTATTTTGAGTTTCTACAAATGTTTCTTTTTATATCTAAGATTTAAAGATTTAATTCAAGATTTCTTATAAGTTAGTCTACATTTATCAAAAAGAAATGTCTATCGGAAAGTCAAATCCAATTTTTATGAGCGTTTGAAGTTGAAATTTTTACATTTGATATTCACTCGATTTCTCATGGAACCATTTTCTTAGGTTAGGTCAATTCATAAACTTGATAAAATTTTCAAAATATTTTAACTTGTTTTAAGTTGTTGACGGACATTTTCAATTTTCATTTTTTTTTTATAAATGTCGATAACATTTTATTGGTTGGATCAAAAACCGTGCAAATTTAATAAAAGTTAATGCTAATATTGTTACAAAAGCAGATAAAAAATATTAAAAATACATAGGCACTATTTTTTTTTTTGAGCATTTAAAGTTCAAATTTTGACGATATTTATCGAATTGAAAATTGAAAATGAATTTGTTCAACATTTTTAGAAAATTTTCAATTTTTATAGCTAAGGATTGAAAATTTAAAACAATGTTCCATTGTAAATCAGTTTATTTTCGTAACTAAAAAATCTAAAATATCTATAAATACAGTTACTTTTTAGTTTTACAGACATTTTAAGTTCAAATTTGGACAAAATTACATATTAACACAAAGAATAACGTTTGTCATTTTGTTGTAATTCAGTTCCAAAACAGTTCCATCCCAATTTTTCATAAGTATATTTGATATTTTTCTAGCATCACTGATAATTTAAGAATAATATTAATTCAACTTCCCGCATTAATAATAGGTAATAACAATATAAAATATCCTAGACTAACATACAGTCGCTACTCAGAATCTTTTTTCGTCCACAATGATATAATATTGAATTCAAAATTAATACTATCCATTACAGCGATAGACACGTAATGTACAACAGAGCGACGTCCACTTACCCTCTTTTTTTTGTGTTTGTCATCACCTTTTGAACAGTAAAAGTCATTGATTTTCTTCTACAGCATCTTTTCTGGTCGGGAAATGAATCTAGTTAATACTTTGGAGGAAGGAAAAATTCCCAATAGTTTTCAAAAGCGACAGGAAAAACGGCAATTCTTACAAAATCGATTTTGGTTTTTGATGTAGGTAATTCCAAAAGAAATATCGAGGAAACATGAAATTTTCACTGAATGTTTATATCCGCATTTTCTATGTAGCCATGTAGGTACTAAAAAATGTTTAAAATATTTTGATTTGTGACCCATCCCTCACCTTAGTACTGCTCGTTTGAAACTTCTTTACAGTGGCTGGATTGCCCCGGGGCACTAGTTAGACACCCACAGCACGGCTGGGTACCGTCCGGGTGATCATCGCGATTGAAGAAGAAAATGGTGAACGGATCGGGCCACCAACGCTAGGCTCTGTTGACCAGGCGCTCAACGGATCTAGCAAACAGCAGAAAACGGAAGGAAAACTGCACTAACCAACACCGTCGGGAAAGAAGCACCCCACCGATCACACCCGCACCCCAACCCCTTCTTCCGAAACTGTCTCACAGCGGCAGGCGTGCCCTGGAACACTAGTAGCACACCCACAGCACGGTTGGTCACCGCCCGGGTGATCTCGATGGCAGTTTACCAATTGCGCTTAAAATAACCTTTTCATATTATACCAATGATGCGCTCTAAACATTTTGAGGTCGATATACCAATTGCGCTATAAGAATTTTCAGATCAATATAGACCGATTGCGCTCAAAACATTTTACAATACCTAAGGAAAACTTACTAGTTACAAATGTAATAATTATATAATAAATGAATACACTAACTGATTTTTTGGGGGTATCAATATACGTGATTCATAATATTAAATAAATAAATAATTTGTTTACATTTATTTTTACAACAATAGCAATTAACAACACACTGATTATAAAAAATATTTTCTGGTAATTTCGCCAGATTTGTATTTCTCAATAATAGAATTGATTGTTAATTTTTTTGTTAAATATGCTCTAAAACATATTTATCTTGTTATGTATTATTTACTGCAATATAATCGCTTGTCTACGTTTCGATTGGTACTTTTAAAAAGACAAAAATATTTTTATGGGAAATGAATCAATCATATTTGATATGAAAATATATTATAACCATCAGTCACTTTAAATAGTAGTCAATTGATCAACAAATAAGGGGTCTAGGACATTTCGCCGCGACCGATTCGCCGCAGACCGTTTCGCCGGCGCACCGTTTCGCCGCGGACTTTTTCGCCGCCGGACATTTCGCCGCGGACTGTTTCGCCGCAACCGATTCGCCGCTGGACTTTTCGTGGTTAAATATACTACCACAACTCGTACCAGAATATACCAGAGATCCAGTGACACCACCAATACGAAATAATTTACAGTGATGCCTCGTTAGCGGCACTCGTCGCTACGCTCCTCGGCGCCGTCGCTCCGCTCCGCAATTCGAAAATATCCCTCGACTTGCTTTGCAACACCACCTAAAGTTGGTCACAGTGTAAACTATCAACACTAGTGTTCTATGGTTATACCATAGTACAATTACCACTCTTATCATTCAAAAGCTTATCACTACCGAAACGGTGGCGGCGAAAAGTCCAGCGGCGAATGGTCGGGCGGCGAAAAAGTCCGCGGCGAAACGGTGCGCCGGCGAAACGGTCTGCGGCGAAATGGTACAGCGGCGAAACGGTCTGCGGCGAAATGGTCTGCGGCGAAACGGTCGCGGCGAATCGGTCGCGGCGAAATGTCCGGGTTCGACAAATAAGTTTTTAGTTTTCAGGCATTTTAGTGTGTAGATTGTTTATGTTGAATGTTGATGTTGATTGTATGATCGTGCCGCAACTTCATAATTAGGGGCCCGTGTGTGATATTTTGTTATGCCCCTTCCTAAATTAATTTTACCGTAAGTATTACAATCTATAAGTGCCAACGTTTTTAGGTTTTGTGTATACGGTATACCTATATGTATATATTTTTTTTTTTTGGTTCATACGTTTTATTCAATCTGTTTCAAAGGGAACAATAAGAATAAGTGATGGTATAGAATAAGCTAAAATTAATAAAAATAAAAAGGCAGACTAAACAGATTTCAGAGGCCTTCCAGTACTAAATACCTAAAAATGTTGTGTACGTCACTCGTCAACCGTCGTCGTTTTCCACTATCAGCCTGTTGTACCTCCGACAATTCGAAAAACAACGACCCATAGACGCGATAAAAATAGATCTTATGAAAAATCGATAGTACTTAAAAAGTTAGAAACTTGAATACTTGATAGGTACCTACTCACCTTTTTCTAAACCTACCATCCTATTTTTTTACATACTTATTACTTAATCTAATATTAGTATACATACAACTACACTTGTTTCAACTTAAAAAAAAATGTATTCTGAATAATTAAGTTTTGAGTTTTAAGACAATTTAAATGTTTGCTCCAGGTTAGGCCCGGGAGTCCCCCAAATGTATGTAAGCCTTAAGGCCCGTGTGCGCCACACACTCTGCACACCCGGTTTTTGCGGCACTGGGCCACGAACACCAATATTTTCATATCTGAAGATATTCGGTAGGGAAATTTGAACTAGCGCAATTAGTATATTATTAACCTTAAAATACGGGCGGTACCCGTTTCCACCAAAAGTGTACCTTTCCCTTTTCCCCCAATACTCGTTTCCACCAAGACGAGGTATATATAACGCTTATAACTTATAAGTTATGTTAAAAGCTGTTAAAAAGTAATAAGTTAATAATTAATATACAACATAATATAAATGTATATGTTACCTTATAATAATAAGTAATAATAATGTTTATAATAGTCAAAATTGTCAAAATTGTCAAATCTATAAATTTAATAAAAAAAAAAATGATTCAATAGTATTGTATAATAGTAAAATGTTACTTTATAATAATTAGTGGTCGTGGATATTTTTTTTAAAAATTGTATGATATAGATTTCATAAAATCGTACTTGTAATTTTATATTTTACAATATTTTGTTTTAATTAATATATTTAGATTATATTGTATTAAACACAATATAGGTTAAAAAAATTGGTTAATACCGGAACACGGTTATATTATTATTTACTTTGTCTTGCCCTAACTTTTATACCATATTATTGTATATTTTTTTTTTTTATTAAATTTGTACATTTTTATTATGTTGTATATTAATTTATTAAATTTTAACAGCTTTTAATATATCTTGTAAGCGTAGTTTACAGAACTTGTCTTGGTTGAAAAGGGAAAGGCACACTTTTGGTGGAAACGTGTTACGCCCTAAAATACAAATTATTTGCGTTTTATGAGCAACCGGGCCATGCCCATCGCGATTGATGCCAAAAGGGGATGCGGATGCGGATGCAGGCCAGCTGGCTATCAAGCAATAAAAGACTGCCGGGCAGCAAGCCGGGTCGAGAAGACAACGAAGTCAAAAACCAGTTCTTCAGTCATCTCTGTAATTCAATTAACTTGTATCACGTGATTTAAATGTGCGCTCTCCAACTCTCCAAGGGACAAACAAAGTACGTACAATTTAATAAAATGTGACATTCCAACTTATTTAATAAATTATTATGGTGGCGCCAAGGAAGTAATTATTTTAATTATTTATTCGGTTCCTAACTGAAAAAAATATGCTTTAATATAGAATAATATATTATAATAGATAGTGATTTATTTATTAGTTATCATATATTTTGTGTACTATTGTCTATTGAAATTCTTGTTCGTGTTCCAATAAAATTATAAAAATAATTATAAGTGCTATAAAATAAAACAAATATTATTTGGCTGTTATTTATAGCGTAATAAATAAATTGGGATATCAACCTAGAAAATGACCGAGCAATGTGATTTTAAGACGTCTAAAGCCACGGTCGACATCTGAAACATGGACCTGATCGCCGATTTCGACTAATGTAGTGTTCGCTTTCACAAATCACAATTCATAATTTTTACTGGCGAATGGCGGTCGGGTCAGGTATCAGTTACTATCTGTAGAATCCAAGGATATTTTTGATTTTCATTTTAGTTTATTTTTTCCCCGAAATGACGACGTTGTCGAACGTCGATAACAATATGCCATGCATTCTATATTTACTGATTCCAAAATGTGTTTAATAAGTTAATAACATTTATTATAAATCATTTCAGCGTGTTCCTTGGAAAAATATAAAATTATTTTTATCACTTTAAATTTATTTTTAGTCTATCATTTTATTAACGATTATTTTTTCTAGTGGATGGAAATAATTATTATTCATGAAACAATCTATTTAACCGTTAATTAAAATAATAATAATATTAATTACATAATATACAGGATAAAGCGGGGTATGCGTTCGGTCGCGGATGTCGATGGGACGTATTTTTGGAGTGGCGCCCGGGAAACGCACTGATAATACTAGCGGGCGCTATGTCGGTAAACTCACGTTTATTTCTATTTGCAATTGGTCATACGTAAGAAGAAAAAGTTACTACCTGTTATAGAATTATTATCGTCCAACTTAGGTGAATTTCCCATTTTATTTATCCTGGGTAAAACCTATACAGGCTACAGCAATGTAGGTATTTAATTATAATTTATAAAATAAAATAAATAGCTCTTTAATCATGTGATTACTAGAAACTATAGCGAAATCGAAGACGTGCTCAACTACTTCTAGAAAACATTGTAATGTACAGGAAAGACAACATTACAAAACCTAATAACATAAGTCCAGATAACAGCCATAGTCTCGTATAACAGGAAACTATCAAAATAATCGCATACCTAGTTATATGGAAACAAAATTAATCGATAAGTTAGAGATTTATCATTTATGTTTTGTGAAAAATAAAATTAGATTTAGGCGAAGGTGCATTTACAACCGAACACGAATGGATGCGACCATGCAAGCGAATTCTACCGAACGAACCAATGTACATAAAAACGGTCTAGCATTCTACTCGATTCGATTCATTTAGGCCAACTTGACCGGATTATCTCAAAATAAATAAAAATATATCGTTACGTTATTACCTTATAATAATATAAACCTAGTTTACTAGGTTACCTTGTATCCGATACTTTAACATTTTATACCTTAGTTATATTAGTTGGATCATTATAATTTGGTCATGCATTTTCAGCACCTAGTCATAAAATAATGAAAACAAGTTTAATTTACTTGAGAAATACTTGTATAATCTCAACAATTTTTACAACGGGTCAGTTTAGTTGTAAAACTGTTAGGTCTGGCATAATATTGTGAGTTACAACTCACAGACAACAGTTACTTGTTCAAAATATTTTTTGTTAGCAACTTACCTTGTTTAAGGTAACTAGCGAGTATTAACACTGGCATTTGTCATCTCCGTCTTATAAGTTACAAGTGTGTAACATACCAAATGTACGCCCGGCTGATCACTCGTAGCTTCGTTAGTTCAAACATTAGAGTGATTCCGACCTATTATGAAACTTGATGGTAGGAACATTATTTGTGATTTTAGGATGGTTTTTTGTGATAGTTCAATTTTTAAGAGAGTTATGAGCATTTTTAATTTACGCTATATTATAACTTATAACTTACTAAAAAATTGAACTGTCGTAAAAAAACAGCATACAAACACAGATGATGTTCTTACCATCAAGTTTTATAAAAGGTCTAGTCACTCTAATTTTTAAACTAACGAAGCTACGCGTGATCTGCCGAGCTTAAATTTGGTATGTTACACATTTGTAAGACGGAGACAACAAATGCCAGTGTTACGTCCTCTTAACTCTTAAGACTCATTTAAGAGGACGCCACACTCGGATGCGTGGTCTTCAGTGGCGGCTCGTGCTATGGGGCACACGGGCACGCGCCCCATCTACAAAATTGGAAGACAGAAGATAAATGTATTTTAATTTAAAATTGAGTAGGTGTTTATTCCATCATAACATAGTTGGTATATCATTTGAAAATATTGACGAAAAAAAAATCAAATACTTCGTACAATACGTAAATATTATATCATACGGGTATTGAGCAGTGGGCACGAATTCGTTGTTGTTCAACTATATTAGATTTCCCCAACTTTTGCGTTGCCGTGCACAATCCGATTGTGTGTGGATTCTATTTTTATTACGATTTACGAGATGTTGTCGGTAGGTATTATCGTCTACTGATTAACTGTATAATTATATTTATTATTTATTTTTACACCATAACTTTCTTTTTAAAATTATTTGTTGCGCAAAAACGAATTTTTTTGCTTAAAAAGCAACAGGAATTGGTGATAAGTTCAAAGTTGTGATAGTAGTAAAATTAGGGGAAATATTTGTGCCCCACCTTAAATGAACCTCACGAGTCGCCACTGGTGGTCTATTTTAGAAACGTGCAACATAGCAAAAACTGATTTGCGTGGGACTAGCTGTACTGCCTCTGAATTTACTGTAGAATTTCTAAAATACCACAACACTTAGGGAAGAACTTTACCTGTGCTTTAGCTTTATTTTTTTCGATAACATTATCATTTTAATAATTAATAGGACGTGATACCTGCATGTGTTGTCTCTGTCTTACAAGTGCGTATCATAGCAAATTTTACGCTCAGCAGAACACGTGTAGCTCCGTTAGTTTAAAAATTAGTGCGAATTGACCTCTTATAAAATGTAAAGGTAAGATTATTATCTAGGCAACCTCATAGGCTTTGCATTATGTTTTTATTTTAACGCGAGTTATAAGTATTTTAAGATGCATAAAAAATGTACAATTTTAAAATACTCATAACTCGCGTTAAAATAAAAATATAATAAAAAGCCTATGAGGTTGCCTAGATAATAATCTTACCTTTAGATTTTATAAGAGGTCAATTCACTTTAATTTTTTTAATTAACGGAGCTACACGTGTTCTGCCGAGTGTACAATTTGCTATGTTACGCACTTGTAAGACGGAGACAACACATGCGGGTATCTCGTCCTCTTAATGAAAAAAACCTTATGTTCTCAAACTGATAACTTTAATTCTATTTAAGTTTTACATATAATAAAAACAGATAAAGCATTGTAAAATTTTGGTAATTCTATCATGAATAGAGGGGGAGTATACCTACAGTTGTCCCGTACAAAACAGTTTTTGCTGTTGTAAATTTGTAAAATGGAGATAACTGACAACACATGCGGGTATGCGTCTTCTTAAAAGTATACTTAAAAATAAAAACAATAAAAATGGCTGTGTCTAGATACCCGGGTACCCATGTTGGTAAAGCGTACAACCACATGGATATATTTGGGTAATCGGAAGAAAAATCCTCGGGAAAAAGACCAAAAACCCTGGAAAAAAATCTCCAGACTACAACATTTTTTTCACAAACACATAAATTATTAAAAAAAAATATTTGTTTAACTCTAATCATTGTAATTACTAATTACCATCATTATTAATATTTAAGAGGACGCTACACCCGCATGTGCAGTCTCCGTCTTACAAATGTTGAACATAGCAAAACAATGTTTTGCACGGGAAAGAACCTAGAAAGCTACATTCATAATTAAGAAACTATATTTTCACCACATAAAAAGGAGAACTTTGGCTGTGCAATATCGTTTTTATTTTTTCGATATCACTTATATGAAAAAAGTTATTATTGTTTCAAAATACATTTGTTTTTGTATTTTTCAAACTTGAATAACTTTTTTTGTACTTCCGATATCGAAAATATAAAAACGATATTGCATAGCCAACGTTCTCCTTTTTATGTGGTGAAAATTTCGTTTCTTAATTATGACTGTAGCTTTCTCGGTTCTTTCCCGCGCAAAATATGTTTTTGCTATGTTCTACGTTTGTAAGACGGAGATAACACATGCGGGTGTAGCGTCCTCTTAATAACAAATATATAACTTAGAAAATATATAATATAGAAATAACATTTTGTTTTATACTGCGATATTATGTATAATTCTGTACAATTAAATCTGTAAAAATAATTTATTTTATTTTTCCTATACAATTTTGACAATAGTATGATAAACGAATATACGATATAAGAATAAAATTAAGAACTTTGAATGTTACCTATTGGCTATTGTCATAATGGTATACTACTGTAGACTTTAGTGTGTACCTTTGACAATTTATAATATAAGATAATTATTTTGTATTATGTTATGATGTTTTTCTTCCAAAGTTTATATTATTTTATTATTATTATTATTATTATTATTATTATTATTATTATGGTTTATATTATTTGACGACTTTGACGTATTCCAAATATTTTTATGCGCTACATTTTTAACTTTGAGTACCTACATTCATTAACTGTTGTTTGATAATTATTTTTATTTTATAACTTTTTAAATATTGTATCTCTAAAAAGTAAAACATGAAAAAACACCTCCCAATAATATATTGACATTTTCGTCAAAATATTATAGGAAACGTAATTTTTTAAAGTGTCAATCCTTAGCTTTACAAATAGAACATTTTCTACATTTCAAGTATTGAAGTATAATATATTTGTAATTTAATATTAATAATGTTGGTTATTACTAGGGCAGAGAACTTGCAGCATTTGCATATTTGTTTTGCTCGATCACAAAAATAGACAGTTTCATGCCGACTAGATTTATTTTCCGATTATTAATTGTATTTATGTACAGATATTGTCCACTGCATAAGATATTATCAATACGGGCAATGGGGACGTCGGTCGCAGACATCAAAATTGAAATAAATATATTCATACAAAAAATCTTATTTTTTAATGCATCATACTATGTTAATATGCATATTTTGTACATTTTAGTGCATATTTGGTGATTTTTTAGAGCTACAAGTCCTCTGTCTTAGTTATTACACTACTTAGCGTTTAAAAATTCTTTTTTCAACAATTTGTATGTGTTCTTGAGTAAAATTGAAGCCTGGGATTTAAGTCAGTAATGCGCATGTAGCGATGCCATTCGCTTGCTGGGTTGCACTCGGGCAAAAATGAAAATATCCCTCGACTTGCTATGCAACACCTGTCTACCTCAAGTTGGGTCACAGGGTAACCAATAGTTAATATGAATTATACTGTTGAGGATAACCGCCTATAATACCACTCCTCTTATCATTCACTAGCACTCTGTTATATACTATAGCGGCATAGTCGATTTGCACTTTTTACCTGTAAATTGTATGGTCGAATTGCACTCGTTCAAAAAAAGGAGTAAATATAAAAGGTTACTATGGGCGTTACTAAGTACATTATCGAAATTGCATGTAGTGCAAACTGTAAACGTTGACTAATGTAAAAACTGAAAAACGTTAAAAATATTACAAACCTTAAGTTTACGAATGCCATGCGTGTCCTTCCACCCTAAGTTTAATAAATCATTTTCATCACCACATCCAAATATATTTGTATTTATTGATGTTTTAACACAAATTAAAAATAGATACTTATATTTTAATGCAAACAAATGACGCAAGACCTTCAACTACAAGGTACTAGAAAACAATTTAAGATTGAAAAATATATTAACTTATGTGCTGAAAAGCGTATTACCAGGCTAATGTTTTTTAATGCAGTTTGTTATTACTACAAAAAATGATAAAAATAATATTTGACGATTCAAAAAAAGTCATAATGGCAATAATATTATTTGATGATTCAATATGATATGTATATAATATATAAACATATGGACGATGTTATGTATAAAACAATCATTTTTAACCACGCCAATGATTATTGTCAGTTCTAAGCTTGTAAGTGGGAAGGGAAATCATTGTTTTTTAAACGTTTAACCCCTTCGAATACATGATATATATATTTTTTTAAATTGGAATACTTTAATTTCTGGTCAGGTGGCACTGCTGGGAGCCTTCCTTTTCTGTTATTAATGTTATTTTGTTATTACGTCATCACTTACTGATTATACCATTGTATAGATTGTAAATACACTATGTTTAATAAAATAAAAAAAGAGAGCCTAAGTGCAGTTCTTCCACTACCTAATTTTTACACGAGTGCAGTTTGACCATTACCTATTTTAAACCCAAGTGCAGTTCGACTATACCCCTAGCATAGACCTTATAGCTAATACTAATAGACGGAACATAACTGGCCAGTGGGGTTGGGTGGTGTGGTCATGGCAATTAGTGTTATATATTATATATATACAGTAGTATATAGTTTATTTTATCATCTAGTGCTCAGCTGCGGTGTACAATGTACTACCTTCATCAACGCCGTCACCAGTGGACATAGGAACTACAACCACGTTCTGTCTATGTAATCTAGGCACAGTGCGAGAAAATCTTTTATATTGAAAATTTTCCAACTGATATAAGGAAATACATAAAAATTTGCTTTGATTACATGCATTCCAAATTTTAAAGATAAGAGAGGATACGGCACATAAAATAAAAACCACAATTGTAAAAAAAAACTCAAGTTATTTAATATTATTATTCATTTACTAGTATAACATCTGTCAATTGACAAATAAATGATAATAATAGGAAAAAAATATTGAGAACAGACCAATTAATCGTGTACCTAGCAGGAACATAGTTCTGATTGACATTGTTCCGCTCATTTACATTAAAGCTTAAGTCTAATGGAACGAATATTGTAGAAAAAAATTAAATTATAATAATATAGTAAAAAAAAATATTAAATACCACTTGGTTCTTAAGATACAAATTAAAAAAAAATATATAATATATATATATTATTGTTTGTTATTTTTATCTGTCCACTGTAGTTTAAGCTACAACAGGTTTATACTCCGGCATGGAAGCAATAATATCTTTGTCATCTTCTGACAAATCACGAGCAAGTAAAAATGTGTGTGCAGATCCACAAGTCACCTGTTCTACATATAATCCATCAAGTTTTTTCATTTCACACGGTTTAGCACTGGATTTTTTCAATTCTCCAAGACCCTAAATGGTTTGCTTGTGTTAAGAGTGATAATTTAAACAAAATTTAAAAAAATTCTTTATTACCA